GGAAATCCAAGCCTCTTGTAATGCTCTCGGGGGACTCGTGACATTAGCGCGAAACAATCTGCCTAAAATGCCGAAAAATCTGTCTTTCTCTAGGTTGGAGTGCAAACGAGCGTGGAGTGGCTGGCGCGCGGGTGCCCTTGACTGCAGAAACGCGGCCACCCCCTCGAATTCGCAATGAAAGAAAGAGCAAAGCTTGAAATTTGCCGCGGGGCGCTCTCTGGCCATTGTGCGTGAGAGTGTATGCGCGTTGTTGCCTAAAAGTGGAAAGAAAGAGAGAGAGAGAGAGAGAGAGAGAGAGAGAGAGAGAGAGAGAGAGAGAGAGAGGCGAGCTCGTAACTTTGCCCCTGAGCCCCAAAATAAACGAGGACTCTCACTCCCTGGCCTTATTTCTTATCTGCAGTTCAAACCGTATGTACGTACGTGCCTTGCCCCTTCCTTTTACTTTGCTTTATCGGAAATGAAAATGAAGTGGCGGGAAATGAAAATCTATTAGTTGCACTCGGTGTTATGGTACCGAGTGGGCGAAGCGCGCTTTATATTACAAGCGCGTGTGTGTCCAAGGGGATTGAGGGGCGGTCGGTCGGTCGTGTCACCGCCGTCGACACTAAACTCGTTACAGGACTACTGGGCATTAATCTTTGTTGAAAACGAGTAGCTTCGAAAGCTTTGAGAGAGATCTTTTGTTGCGTAGTGGTCGCTCTTGCGTTCTGGAGAGACAGAGAGACTTGCGGGGGAGCAAATCAACTTGATCAATCTCGAAATTCGCTCGTTTCACTCGAGTGCTTACAACAAATCCATTTCTCTCGGACATTGAATGTTGCACGCGCGTAATAACACGCGTGCGCAAGGCAGTGATAACGGTTGGAAAATACAGGCGTTAGAGCATTGAAACTGTTGTTGCCGGTGCGTAAATATGAAAACCGCGAAGACTGACTACTACTCGCTCTGTGCAAGCGAAGCAACAACGAACGGAGTGGGGTCGAAAGCATATACGGACGCGCACATTTGCACGTAGTAGTGAGCATCGAGCAGGGATGGGGCAAAGAAGCCCTTACCTCATGTTTCAACGCGGGTGAGCCGATCGGGCAGCCACGCCGAGGAAATAAATCAATAAACTTTCCATGTGTATTTTCTCGCGTCATCGCACTTTGCTCACCCCGCGTGAAAAATAGCCGTCGATCCAGGACGTATCCCCCACGCGCGTACACTGCCAGATAATCAATTACGCGAAAGTGCTTTCTCTATTCATGAACGTATGGCATTCTCCGGCCATCCCGCTGGCGTGCGCGAACGAGGCGCGTGTGAAAATTGAAAAGCGGCTTTTTTTGTTTTTCTACACCTTGCCGCAGCGTGGAAAGTTCAAGTGCGAGAGACAGAGAATCTTCAGGCGAGTGCGGAGCCAAGGGAGCACAATGGATTAGCCTCTCTAAATACAGCCCGCATTCGAGCGGAATGAGATAAGGCTTTCGCGCCACTCTTGCGTTTTACGGTGCTGCGGCACAGCACATCTCTAAGCCACGCAGTCGTAGAGCGCAGCTGGGCGCACGACGACGACGACGACGACGACGACGACGGGCCGGAGTGTCGATTGCCATTCGACGCATGCTCGTCCAGCCGAGATGTACACCTTCTAAAAACAGCTTCAAGAGTCCAAGTTTGCTTGTCACGACTGCAGCAGAGATGGCGCCGTCTCGTGGGATTGTTTAGAGCCGCCTCAGTCGTTAAGGCTTTGCGGTCTACTCTGTCCATGTGCAAGCGCGAAACGTATGCTAGATTGATAAGTTTGCGGCAGCGCGACGGAGAGTGTACAACGGGCAAAACCTCAAAGGCACTCAATTAAAGAGGCTCGTCGCCTACGCCAATTTCCCGAGGTAACAACGTCGCGCTGCTTTTTCCATATACACTTTATGGGCGTCCTGTCGACAACTCAATACAGCCGCTGGCGTGTCTCTGATCGCGATGTGTAACCGCGCGCCCGTTGCGCTCACCATCTTCTTTTATTTAGAGGCCGGGGGAGGGGGGTCTATATCCCTATTAGAGCGCGCGACATCCTTCCACCCTTAGATGCACATCATGCCTAGATCGAATTATACGCTCGGCTCCTGTAAAACTGAGCTACAGTTCACGCTCTCTGTGTGTACGCCACGAAATTCGACTCGAAGCGAAAATTAAAGCGCGTGCGAGTGCTGGGGTTGGAAGCACGTAGAAAAAAAACAGCTCTAGCTAAACTGAAATCCCTCGAAACGAAATAACCGGATGAACAGTTCATCTTTCGTCAATATCAAGTCTCCGATTCCAGATGGGGAAACTCGAGAATCGGCCTCAATGCTATTTTCGCGTTTCAGTTCTGCATGAATATATCGCGACACCTCAAATATTTAGATCCACGAAGGTTTACACAACTTTCAAATTTTTAAGTAATTTCTATTTTTATCGAGTGTATATATCTTTTCTATTGATACTATCTCAATGAAAAACATGCAGTGCTAAAGTTATAAAGAAACGATTACAGGGAATTAACGAATCCACGAGTCAGTCGTGTACGGACGATGTATGCTTACGGAATCCCAATGATCAGTGAGCGAAATTCAACCTTCATTATTGATCAAGTAATATTCAGCTGTTCCGCCAATAAAATGTGTAAACAAGGAAGGCGCGATGCTGTCAAAATAAATTTCATAAAAGCATACATACGTTAAATCAAAAAATCGTCTAGAGCCGCGCCCCCGTCGTATTTGTTCGTAATTTCCGCTGGACTTGCTGGAAATTATTTGCTTTATTTGGCACATGCCTCGGTAAATAAAAATTCGAAAGCACGTCTGATTCGGAAAATGCGCCTCTCTTACTGTGGTAATTGCCCGAGCAGTCTCGGCAAACACGTTACACGTTGCGTAAATACATGCCTGGATTTTGAGAGAGATTTCATGTAGAGCTGCGTTAAACGCAAGCCAAAGTGATGAAAGTGGAAAAGGGAGAGAGCTTTGCCTCGGGTAGCTCGCGGTAAGTTGCGAAAAATGTTTGGACGAAAGAGTGTTTCCCGTATTTGGTTTTTACTAAGGGATGCGTACTAAAAAATGCGCAAGAGGGTTTTCACGTACGTCCGAGGCTCAATTGCTTTAATTAAAACCTCCTCCTTAATTGAAGTTTTATCATTTTATTTGTCTTCCACAATCGAGCTCTGGCCATTTTCCTTTCGTTTCCTGTTTGCCGATGCTTTTTTATTTCTATTTTTGCTGCTAATGTTTAACTTCTTGGCTTTGTACAAAATTAATATTCGTAAATGAGTATCTTACCGAGGACGTACCTGTTGCATAAATACACAGCAACATTGATAAGCATGAAAACAGAAAATTCAAAATTCTATGAATCTTTTCCAAAATTGCGTACTTACGCGCACTTTAAGGCGTACTTGAAAGCCAAGTAATGAATAATTGGCTGAGTAAGTGTAAATAGACCGTTTATGTTTTTAAAATAAGTTCTTCAAGAAACAAGTAAAAACCTTTGAAAATAAAAACGTGTTGAAGCAGTTTCAAGGGTGAAAAAATCTCAAGCATACGGCATACATCTGTAAAAGTATACGTACCCGAGAAGAATCCCCAAGAATGAAGATATACGTGTAAGAATGATAAAAAGTTGCGAGAGAAATGAAGTGCAAATGAAACTAAAGCAAACACGCAAATAGTAACCGAAGAGAGTAAGGACGCTAGCACAGGGGAATTGCCGCGAGGGAAAGGAAAATTAGTGAGAGAAAGAAAAGAGCACGCATCTAAATGTACATGCAAATACTGCAAGTTATTGTTTTCCTTTATTTATCGTATTACATGATAATGGCATTAATACTTTACTATGTAACATCTGTCACAGCTACAAGTTCTCTACTTGAACGTTGCCAAAAACCGTCGGATACCCGCAAATGGTCATATAATTGATCCCTTAATTGTAAGGGACAAATAATGTAGTCTAACGAAAATGATCTTCCGTATCGGTTTTTTGCGGCACAAAAAACGCAGTAAAGAGAACCTATTCACGCTGTAAAAGTACACACAAATTTTGGTATATTAATATTTACATAAACCAATTGATACACACTAATTTAGATATATTAATATGTTAATACACAAAAAATCAACATAGTTTCAGAAAAATATAGTTATTAGTTAAATTATTCATAGAAAATATTGTATTGTTGATAAATTTAACTACTGAATATATGTAAACCTGTTTTCAATATGTTAATTGTTTAACCATCGAACATTTTTTGTTGTTAACCGTGTTAACTGCTGCTTATGTAGGAACGGACGTCGATATAATCTACCAAACTTTAAGTTAAAATTTAATTATAATAGAATCTTGGCGATGCCAGTGATTAAATGCGTATACGATTTCAATAAAATTTTCTAAAATACCTTTAATTGAACTATAACATTGTATTTCTTAAAAATTTTGTTAGAATCAGCATGAGGCCGATACAACAATTTGTTCTGAATAAAAGCTTAATCCCTTATCATATTCTTTGCAAAAATCCTTGACATTAAAAAGATCTGTAGAATTTTTTCGAGTACCACTTATGCCTATATCTGCAGAGCTAACCTTGTTTCACAGACTTCTCGCGTATCAACTTCATTAAATAACACTTTGCAAGGACTACCACAAAATTCGTAATTTCCATACATAATTTTATTGATGTTGCTTTTCGTAATATAAAACAACAGGGGTATCATTTTCGTTTGACTACATATTTTCTTCACAGCAGTAAAAAGATCGATTACAAGAGACAGTTTGCGGCTTTGGTATTCATCGTTCACCTTTCGGTAACGTTTACAGTCAACGCGGATAATCAAATAATATATCAATATAATAAATATTTGAATAATTTAGGAATAAAGAATTTTAACAACGAATAAAAATGGAGTAAAACATATAAGATTTTGCACATTACGTGAGAAGGAAAGGTAGAGATTGAGAGAGAAACAAAGTGATTGAATAAAAGAAAACCAAAATTCGATTAAGTAAATATTTTAATAAGCCTCTATTTCGTAAAATAATAATTTGCCATTATTATACCGAGAGATTTTGGCATTTTTTGTTGTTGCTTTTTCGATGCTCGTTAAATAATAAAACAATATTCCTCTGTAACCGAGGATATTTGCAATCTTAAAGACAATATTGATTAACTATGTCTTCCCTACGATAGGAATACAAGGTATTATTGATGTATTCCATGATGTTGAAGAAGGAGATGCTTGCGATAATGTTTGCAATACATATATATATTGTGGCGCCTTCAATTCTAGAGACTTAGGCGACGACGATACTGAAGACTGAGGCGGTGTCGATACTGGAGACTGAGGCGGCGTCGATACTGGAGACTGAGGCGGCGTCGATTCTGGACACTGAGGCGACGACGATACTGAAGACTGAGGCAGCGTTGATACTGAAGACTGAGGCAGCGTCGATACTGGAGACTGAGGCGGCGTCGATTCTGGACACTGAGGCGACGACGATACTGAAGACTGAGGCAGCGTCGATACTGAAGACTGAGGCAGCGTCGATACTGGAGACTGAGGCGGCGTCGATACTGGAGACTGAGGCGGCGTCGATACTGGAGACTGAGGCGGCGTCGATTCTAGACACTGAGGCGACGACGATACTGAAGACTGAGGCAGCGTCGATACTGGAGACTGAGGTGGCGTCGATACTGAAGACTGAGGCGATGACGAAACTGAAGACTGAAGTGACGTAGACGCTGGCAAAACGGATACTGGTGGAATTTGCTGCGGTAGTTGGGGATCAGATGGCGGAGTTTGGCGTGGTTGTTCCTCTTTAGCACATGGGTCTACGTAGACCTGAAAATTAACTCGTCAATATTAATTGCATCTGTAAGATGCAAAGAAAAAATATCAAATAAATTCTTACCGGTGTCTCGCAGTCAAGATAGAAAGGTATGCGGAATCCATTACACCCATGTGTACAGATGAGCAAGGTCAAGGCAAGACATACATTCTTGAGTGCGAACGACATTATTGAAACAGTGTCGCTGCTCCTGGTGTTCTCTCCAGGAAATTGGCTTTTATATATGCTGTTTTTTTCTGTCGTGGTTCATGATAATGAGATTGAGTTAAATCGCACAGGCAAATTTGTGCTCCAGTCACGCTGCAGATTTGATATCGGAAACTGCAAACTCGTTCTTGTTTTGAAAATTTCTATCCGTCTTGCACGCGTACACGGCTCTCGTTTGGACGATTTCTCCTCAGTTTTCGCTTCATATCTTCAAGCACGTCACTATATTAATCTCTAAATTTGTAATGCCAAAGTAACTTCAAAATAATAATAATATTAGTATCGTAATAATTGTATGTGACTGGATGAAATATAAGTATGTGATCCTATCGTATCATATTTATTTAACAAAATATTATTTGCAAAAATGCGAGTGTGTTTTTTGAATCAATAGTATCAATAGATGTACTTTATCCAACTAAGTATAGTGGTAAAAATGTCAAAAGCGTTTTTGGAATGAAATAATCGAAAGCAATAGTCAGATATGCATATATTGTTTCCACTGAAGGGATCTAGTTAAAGCGTATAGAGCCTACTAAAAACCCAATTTGCAGCGACTTTGGTTACTGTTACACGTATCGATCCATTGGGAAATTTATATGAAAATTTAGTATATTTCTGTATTATTTTGGTTACTTTGTAAGTCCATTAATCACTGTATATTTTAAACGATCTAAAAGAAATTCAGAAAATTTGAAAAATTCTTACCAAAGGTTCTGTTTTTTGTATGTATTCTTATGGAAGCTTAAAAGTTTTTAATTTTCTACTCAATATAATCATTAATGGATAGTATCGTAAGGTTTGTCGATTTAAACCTAAGAGCCGAAATGCCAAAGAAATAATATTCAATATATGCTATGTCACATCTGAATACGCGCATACACGTACGCGTGCATGTCAATGTAATTGATATTCCCATTGTACAAGTAGTTAAAATGACTGAAATTCGTAAATATACATGATGGCGTACAATATCAAGCGTTTTAATGATATTTGTTTGAAGATATACATTTTGTTATTTAACAAGAAAATTGCTTTTACAGCAAGTTTCTTGGCCTTATGACCCGCATTGTCACTGTAAGAGCTGAATCAGTTTTTTGTTTTGAATACTCTTATTGCAATATGAAATAAATTTACATCACCATTTAGAGTATTGCATATCGTAGCATTCCAAATTGGTCAACAAGATTTGTTTTTCATCGGTTTATATTGATTTCACTGAGTTGATTTTTTTACGCAGCATAATATACATTTAAAAACGCTGCTATTCGCAACCAATATTATATGTTAAAAAATAATGGTGTTTGTTCGAATATTATCAATGTTGATTGAGTCTCATCTAACCAGTAGATTTGAATATGTATTTAAAACATTTATTAATATAACTATTATACTTTGTTAAATGATCATTTTTCATATTGGTAAAGGGCTTGTTTTATTTAATTTTGATAACCGCTAATATTAAATAAGCGATTATACATCAACTTTTGAAAATATTAAAAATTGTTGCATAATAAGTAAGCGATATGTCACAAACGAAATGATTAAGAAAAGACCATCACGCACGAATTTCTCGTACGATATTGTTTAAAAAAGAGAATTAAAAAAAATGCACTATTTGATACAATATCTTTATAAGTGCGTGCTCGATGTCATTTTTCTTAACTTATTGCATTGTGACACAATCAGACTTGACATATAATTTATAATCACTTTATGAAGCCATCATTTCCCAGATCCACCTAGTTATTATTAATATTAAATAATAATTTCAAAACTAAGTTATGCATAAAATAGCGTACTTTGAAATAGAATAATAAAATATCTTAGATAGCCTTCATCAAATGACATAAAATCATATGAAACTTGGTACTTTACAATCTGAATGATTTACTTTATTAATGTATAGAGTGTGCATTTACAGTTAAATGGTAAATAGCTCTTTTTGTCGATTGATTAAATACTCAAAAGTTTAAGAAGAAATTTTAGTCAAAAGAGTTTATTAAAATTGTAGATAACCCGCGTCTTAGATATAATGCCAATAAATGAATCATCTAATACATTTCATTTAAAACCGCGGGTAAAAAAGCCAACGAGATTTTAAATACAAACGCAAGGTGGTGACGAAAAGAGTAATAAATAACTTGACTTGTCATCGTGATACAAAAATCCATGCAAAAGAGAAAGAGAGAAAATGAGCATCGTAGCTCTGATTAATAACGAAAGATTTTGAACGGCGAGAAGCGAAAGGCGAGAGAGAGAGAGAGAGAGAGAGAGAGAGCCAGACCACTAATTGATGATGTTGAGTCTGTGCGCAATTCTTTTGCCAAGCTCGTTTATACAATTGTGTTATTACGAGGCTTGCATGCGAAGGCGGCTTCGACGAAGATATCCGTGGTCGAATGAAACGGTAAATTGTGCTGGGCGACAGGGCGTTGAAAGGAATTTTTCTCGTCGATATCGGCTGCGCGCACCGAGGGGAGTACATCGCAACGGGACATTCCTCGCGAGCTGAGAATTTTCCCGGGGCATTATTAATTCGCGCATGATCGGTCATTTATTTGGCCACAACACGCGCGTCTATTTATCGCCGAGTAATATCGCTCGTTAACTCCGCGCGGGCGCTCAACTATGGCGTGCATCGCTTCGAGGATTTGTTGAGCCTCGATTAATTCGTCGCGGTTCGACGATCGGCCGATTGGCCGACGAAATTGTTTATTTCTGCGCACTTTCCCCAGCAATACACGCACTCGGTCTGCCTAGCAAAGAAGCAACGAGTCGGGAAAGTAAAACCAAACAAGCCGATGGAAAGCGCGTAGAGGGCAACGGGAGGTCTGACCATAGCGGCCTTTATCCACTTGGGACTGGGCGCGCGTGCGAGAGAGCAAGAGAGCAGCTCGGCGAACAATCAAACTCGAGCCATCCTCCGATTCTTCCTCGCTGTTGAGCGAACCAAGATTTTCCGAGCGCTTCCCATTTTTCACTGGCTACAAGGCGAAAGCACTCATAAGAGCAAATATTTATCCTGCGCTGAATGCTCTATCCCCTCGCAACGCAAAACGCCATCCGCGCCGCAGCTTCGGGGAAAAATAGAGAAGGAGAGATAAGGTTGGCGCGCGCGCATTCCATTGTCGAGTGCGCGGAATAAAAGAAGTCGCGTTTCCGCGATTCCTTCTCGCGTGCTTTTCCTGCTGGGAGAGAGAGAGAGAGAGAGAGAGAGAGACGAATCCTTCTGCATGCTACAACATCTGTGCGGACTCGAGTTTGCTAGTCCTGCTCGGGGAACTCGGGGAAAATCGTGAATTGGAAGGAACACGCGAGCGAGCTGCAGTATGTGCATGGATAGACATAATGCGCACGTGACCGGCTAACCTAACGATCTTTTCCCTCTCTCAACAGGTCGCTTTCTTATTTTCTGCGTCTGTAATCGAACGACGAGATGTGCTTCGTCATTTCACTTCTCCTCGCTCTGTTGCACACCGACTGTGGCGTCCAATTGTCGTCGACAATAAAGGAGCTCTCCTTAACAAAAGTATTTTCTGCGCGGATTCGAGTTGCACTCACGACGCGTCGAAGCAAATAGGCCGCTCGGAATGTTATAGCGGATGATGCACCCGGTAAACGAGAGGCTGAAATAAAAGTGGCAACGACGAGGCATCTTCGAGGAGAAAGAATGCGCTGTCTGTCGTGATGAGCGCATCAAACTGGCGAAAAGATCCGTGGCGCATTGGTTCCGTCATCGAGGGCGCCTCTCATTGGCCGTTTGCCCGTTAGTCTCGCCGCGCGCACAGTCGTAAAAGCGACACGTCATAAATAAGATCTCCGGCCCGGCTGCCTCGCGCGTTCAAGCTTCTCTCTCCCTCTCTCGCTCGGTCCTGCGCGACAATAATAATACAACATATCCGCTGGCGCGCGCGGCCCTAGTGGCGTCGTTGCCACCGCCTCGATCGCAATTCGTTAGATTGTCCCTTAATGGTCCATTGTTGGGCGCAATATCCTCGTGCACCAGGTGCATCTATGCGAGCCGGTCTTTTTGCCATTACAACGCGGATGAGTGCGCGCGCGGAAGGAGGCCCGCGAGCGCTTTTGATTTAACCATCCGATCGACGCATTGTCACTCGCACCCTGCTCCTGATTCAACCACTAGATACTGCCCCAGTACCGCCGCGAAACACGCGACACAGCCCAGCTCGCAATCCGATTTGGACGCTCGGCCACGGGGATTAATGCTCCGCCGATGTTTTTATTGAACCTTTGATAGCTTGATAGCTACACGCATATCTATCGATCGTTTCATTCATCGTTATTTTGCTTGCGCGGCTTTCTCGATATTTCGATCAAGGTTGCAGCAGATTCTGCAAGTAATCAATTTCTGGAAAAAGCTGCTTCAATTGGCCGATTTGTTTGAAACGAATATACTCGCCGTTGAAATAAATAAAGCGAATTGTGGTTTGAGAGAGTCGATGACAAAAGCAAATGCAGACTGCAGTTACGGTCGGGCAGTTATAGCTGAATAAAGTATGATGTGGCGTAAGCTATTCGCGCTTTCTCCGAAATGAGAGTCGCGCGCCGACCGCTCGTAAAGCTACATGTGCGGAGCATTGTCCTGCTGGCGCAATTGTCAGTCGCCGAGTGTCGCTGGAGCGCGGCGCCAGAAATCGGCTCAGAAAGGGCGAGGCTCGTTCGTCACGATTGGCCCTGCGGCTGAAATACCTATATCATCGAAAATTAATCGCAATGCGTAGCTCATTTTCACGCGACCATCGGTTTCCGCGCGATCTACGAACATGATGCTGATAACGCTCGCGCTCAGTTACAGTCGACCGGCTGCCATCTAATTATTCGCGCAGACTTTCTAGAATCGATAATCGTACATCACTCAATTGTCGAGCAGCCATTTGAATTCGTTCTCGGAAAGCACTTCGGTTATTAATTTTGAACGAGCTCAAGATTTCAGTGACACCAGCTCGCTTTCAAATCGG